TTATGTGCAGCGTCTCCGCTGGCCTATGGCCACCCTCCCAGGTGTCAGTAAATTCTCACCATTTCACAGAGCTTAAGGAACTTACTCAGGTCTCACAGGCAGGAAGTGGGGAGCCATAATGTGACTCCAGCCTTCTGACCCCTGGCCCACGTGCTGCTCTCACGGTCACACCCCTCTGTCTCTGCAGATGCTAGCCCGCCTGCTGAAGAGCTCCCACCCCGAAGACCTCCGTGCAGCCAATAAGCTCATCAAAGAGATGGTGCAGGAGGTAGCGACCGAGCCCACAGTACGGGGAGGAGGCAGGATGGGGGTGTTGAGCGGGGCCGCCGAGATGGGGCTGTGTGTGTCAGCACATGCAGGGAGCCCCAAAGTGACCCAGGGCTGTCACAGCAGAGAAGCTGACTGATGCTGGGGACCAGTGTGTGCAGGGAAGAACTCCTGGCAGCCTGGGTGACTTGCTCTGGATGGGCCTTTGGGAGGCTGGCTACCTCTTCCTCAAAAGTTAGAAATGAATTAGGCCTCAGTATATGTTTAAAAATATATAAATAACATAATTGTGTATATGTGTATGTATATGAGGAGGTTTTTTTGAGACCCTGAGACAGGGACTTAGTCTCTTGCCCAGGCAGGAGTATAGTGACATGATCGTGCAGCCTCGACCTCTCAAGCAGTCTTTCCACCTCAGCCTCCCAGGCAGCTGGCACTCAATATGTGAGCGATCACACCTATCTAATTGGTTTTGGTTTGTTTGTTTTTTCTTTTTTTGAGGTGGAGTTCTGTTCTTGTTGCCAAGGCTGGAGTGCAATAGTGCAATCTCAGCTCACTGCAACCTCTGCCTCCTGGATTTAAGCAATTCTCCTGCCTCAGCCTCCTGAGTAGCTGGGATTACAGGCATGTGCCACCATGCCCAGCTAATTTTGTAGTTTTAGTAGAGATGAGGTTTCTCCATGTTGGTCAGGCTGGTCTTGAACTCCCAACCTCAGCCTCCCAGACTGCTGGGATTACAGGTGTGAGCTTTTGTGTTTTTTGTGGAGAAGGGGTTTTGCCATGTTGCTCAGGCTGGTCTGAAACTCCTGGGCTCAGGCGATCTGCCTACCTCATCCTCCCAAAGTGCTGGAATTGCAGGCATGAGCCACTGCCTGGCCAGATGTTTAATTTTAAAGTAAATATGCATATGTTTTGTGGGTGCCTGCTGAAACTTTTTTTTTTTTAATTGAGACAGGGTCTCATTCTGGAGTGCAGTGGCATGATCATGGCTTATTGCAACCTCGACCTCCTGGGCTTAAGTGATCCTCCCCCTTCAGCCTCCTGAGTAGCTGGGACCAAAGGCACATGCTACAACGCCCTGCTAATTTTATTTTTTGTAGAGACGGGGTCTCCCTTTGTTGCCCAGGCTGGTCTTGAACCCCTGAACTTAATGACCCTTCCACCTCGGCCTCCCAAAGTGCTAAAAAAAAAAGTTTCAAAGCTGGATGTGGTAGCTCATGCCTGTAATCCCAGCACTTTGGAGGCCAAAGTGGGAGGACTGCATGAGGCCACCTTTTACTCTGCAAGGGAGGGGCACGCACAGTAAGTGGAGGAGCAGGGGAAAGCGGGGCTGCTCCTAAGAGCAGCCTTTAAAGGTACAGTCTCCCCCATCTGCCAGGCACCAATGGACACTGGAAGGGTCTTCATGCTCATTTCTAGGCTGCACCTAGTGACCACAGAGGTCCCCTTTCACTATAAAATACAAAAACCTCCTTTGAAAGGGCAAACACAAGGAGGGCGAGTCACTGAGAACCACAGTGGAGGTCTAGGGCCCTGGGCCTTCAGAAGCACCTGGTGAGGGGGCTGGAAACCCAGGTTCCTGGGCCATCCCTGGAGATCCTGATGAGCCTGTGCAGACACCTGGGAAGTGGGGGCTTCTTGGGCCAGCATGCCCTTCCTGGGCATGAGGGGCTCCTTGGGCCAGCATGCCGTTCCTGGGCATGAGGGGCTCCTGGCAGGGCTTGCTGAAGCCCCACCAAGAGTCTCAACCCACAGTCAGCCAGCCATCACCTGGATCCCAGCACACACTCTCGAGTGGCGGGGGCAGTGCCTTGTCCAGGCCGAGCAGGGCACAGGTTCTCAGGGGCCCTTGGCTGATGTGTCCCCAGGACCAGAAGCGGATGGAGAAGATCTCGAAGCGGGTGAATGCCATTGAGGAGGTGAACAACAATGTGAAACTGCTCACAGAGATGGTGATGAGCCACAGCCAGGGCGGTGCAGCAGCCGGTAGCAGCGAGGACCTCATGAAGGTGCGCCCGCCTTCCCCACTCCCTGCCCACTCCACAGTCCACTTGGGCCCTGACCCGCCCGCCCTGTTGCCCTCAGGAACTGTACCAGCGCTGTGAGCGGATGCGGCCCACGCTCTTCCGACTGGCCAGCGACACAGAGGACAATGATGAGGCCTTAGGTGAGCCGGTGGCAGATGCTGCGGTCAGGTCCCCTACTCTCCCTCCACCTCCTACCCCCACCTACCCCAGGCCCTGCTGACTAGCTGCAGTTGGAAGGAGCTACCACCAGGGGGCCCTCTTCTCCAGCACCGACCTTGGGTTTCTCCATTCTGAGGATACAGAGCAGGGGCCGCCCGCTCTGAGGGGCATATGGACCAGCCCCCTTTATGGCATCTCATTTACTGCCAGCAGCTGCACAGGCGGCAGAACCGTCCCCTTTCACAACTGGGGCTAAGCAGAACAGTGGCAGAGTCAGGGAGACGGAGGGCCATCTGCCCCGGACCTTCCTCCCTGGTGAGGGAAAATGGAAGCTAAGAGTGCATCCCGCAGCCCGGGCAGTTCCAGACCTGAGCCTGAAGGCTTATGCCAAGGCCACATACCAGGTTCTTTTCCTTGATCTCTGCCCACGTCAGTCTGGGCCACTTGGGCCGCGGTCTGGGTACCCTCCACTCCCTTGTTAAGCAGGAGCTCCACCCACAAGGCTTGCTGCTCAGATTGCCCCACGCCCTGGCACCTAGAGAAGCAGTGTTGCCAAGGGCCTGATTGGTACCAGGCACTGTTCTAGGCCCTCAGGGATCTGGCAGTGATCAAAGTTGGCAGAAGGCTGGGAGCAGTGGTTCACACCTGTAATCCCAGCACTTTGGAAGGCAGGGGTGGGAGGATTGCTTTAGACCAGGAGTTCAAGACCAGCCTGGGCAACATAGTGAGACTTTGTCTCTGTTACAGATATATTTATATTTAAAAAAAAAAAAAGTTGGCAGAAACTTCCTCATGGTAGTTTAGTGCGAGGAGGCAGACGGTAACCAGGTCTATGATCACAGTTTGTCACAGTGGTAAGCAGCATGGAGGAAGATAAGCAGGGACGGGATGCGGTAGCACAGGAGGGGTTAGCACAGGCCTCCTGAGGTGACCCTTCCGTGAAGACCTGAAGGCAGTAAGGGATGACGCCAGGCAGAGAACAGAGCTGGAGCAGAGGCCTGGAGGCAGGAGCGAGCCCAGCGTATTCAGAGACAGCCAGGCAGTATGGCAGGGAGTGAATGAGGGGCGGGTGGGAGGTGAAACCAGGGAGGTAGCGGAAGATCAGAGTCTCAGCAGAGATGGCATGTTCCCCTGCCCCGTCCCTTCCCCTCACACACAGGCTGTGATGGATGGATGTGGGGTGCTCGTCTCCTGCCACCCAGAGGCCCCACAGTCCTTCAGCCTGGCCTCTCCCCTACTGCCTGTTCTAGCTGAGATCCTGCAGGCCAATGACAACCTCACTCAAGTGATCAACCTGTATAAGCAGCTGGTACGGGGCGAGGAGGTCAATGGTGACGCCACAGCCGGCTCCATCCCTGGTGAGGACGTGGCAGAAGAGCTGGGAGGGGACCCATCAGGCTGGAGGGGCACAGAGAGTGCAGGGTGGTGTGCTGGTCTCCGAGCTGCTGGACTGACTGCCAGGGTGACCCTGGCCCCTTAAGATGGGGAAGGCCCCAGGGAAAGAGCTTGGGGTGAAGTCTGTGCCAGGCACGCAGCTGTGGGGAAGCAGTCTGGATGTGGGAGAGCGGGGGAGCCCAGGGTTTGGTGAGGACAGGCGGTAGAAGGGGTAGAAGGAAGGCTTTCTTTCACTCGACAAATCTGGCACCTGTTGTATAGTGCTGGGCAACAGCCCCGAGGCTGAAAGTGGGAGGGGTTAGGGCAGTACACATTACAGACCCAGTTCTCATAAGGATAAGATGGCAGCCTTGGGGGCCACAGAAGGAGTTAGAATTGGTTCTGTTTGGGAAAAGTGGGGATGGAGGCGCTGCACGCAAGCAGCCAAGTTTCAGCAGGGCCTAGGATGAAGGATGGGTAGCAATTTGCCCAGGAGAGCTCAGAAGGAAGTACATTCTGGACAGAAGTACCAGCATATGCCAAAGACAGGTCCTGTTGAGCAGCTTCCAGGCAGGGGCTGGGTGGCCAAGGACGGGGAAGCAGGAGGCCAGCGGTAAAGCATGAGGGTTGGCTGTTGCTCCCCACAACGCTGTGGACTCCAAGAGACACATGTACACCCAGGACTTAACCAGCCTCTTCTTTCCCACCCCAGGGAGTACCTCGGCCCTGCTGGATCTCTCAGGTCTGGATCTCCCGCCTGCGGGCACCACTTACCCAGCCATGCCCACCCGCCCTGGCGAGCAGGCCAGCCCCGAGCAGCCCAGTGCCTCAGTTTCCCTGCTTGATGACGAGCTCATGTCTCTGGGTGAGGAAGGGGCCAGGCCTGGAGGAGGGTGGGCTCAGCAGCAAGTGGGGCATGATCCCAGGACCCACTAGCAGCTGGCGGAACACCAGCACCACGTACCGCAGGCTTGAATCCTGTGGGCCACGTGGATGGGCGTTAGGCCCATTTCACAATGGAGGCTCGCGGAAGGTAGGGAGCTTGTGCAAGGCCACACAGCCAGAGGGTGAGGCTGGCAGCCTCTAAGCCAGCATTCAGGCTCTGGCAGCCAGGGGGAAGCCTGAGGATTTCCCTGCAACAGGTGAGAGCTTACAGTTAGGAACTTCCTGGGCAAAAGTTCAGCAGTTTCTTTATCCACCAAGAAGAGAGAGAGGGCTCTGGGCTCCACAGCACCCAGAGGCTCCAGAGAAGCTGAAGCCCGGGCACAAGGGACACGGTGATCCAAGCTGGTCCAGGGGCAGGCCTGCTGTTACTCCTGGCAGGCTTAGGCTCCAGAGCCCAGCAGGGATCAGGCTCACCCCGGGGAAGAAGCAAAGTGGTCCCAGCTGACTTCAGGGCAGCAGCCCCCTCCGAGAGCTGAGCTGCAGAAGAGCCGCCTCCTCACAGCCGCTGAAGGGATGAAGAGCAGAGATGTTAGGCCCGATCGCCTGATCAACGGACTCCTCAGGGATGTATTGGAAGCCAAGATTCAGACTGTGGTCTCCTGAGCCAGTTCTGAAGCAAAAACCAGGCCTGAAGGCCTTGAAGAAGCAACAGGAGCCCAGGCCACCCTGGGCAGGGTCTGCCTGGGTTCCAGGAGGGCTTCCTTAGGTGCAGTGCCCACTGCTGCACTCTGTCCTGTTTTAGACGACCCTCACAGTCCCCACAGGCAGGTGCCATGAATAGCCCCACTGCACGATGAGGAGGTGGCAGTGTAGAAAGGCGCGGTGGCTCACGCCTGTCATCCCAGCACTTGTGGGAGGCCGAGGCAGGCAGATCACCTGAGGTCAGGAGTTTGAGACCAGCCTGGCCAACGTGGTGAAACCCTGTCTCTACTAAAAATACAAAAATTAGCTGGGCATGGTGATGCATGCCTGTAGTCCCAGTTACTGGGGAGGCAGAGGTTGCAGTGAGCCGAGATCACGCCATTGCACTCCAGCCTGGGTGACAGAGCAAGACTCCATCTCAAAAGAAAAAGACTGTGTGACTTGTGCAGAAAAGGCTCCAGGACGTGAGCTAGGCTCTGATCCTGAAGCCACACTCTGAGCGACTCTGCTGCTCTGACTCATTGTCCATAAGCAAATAAAGGAAAATGACCTGGGGTGTGGAGGGAGAGCTGAGGGAAGGAGGCCTCGTTGTGAGCCCCGTTGTGAAGCCACCAGCCAGTACCCTCCCTGAAGCCACTTATACAAGCCCCACGCAGCCTCCCCTCTTCATTCAGAGCCAAGGGTAACCTCAGGGAGACCTTTACCCCATTCTACAGAGGTAAAGGATGGTGAACGAGCGCTTATACAAGGTTTACCTTCCCCTGTGGAGCCAGCCCTGGGCGGCAGCTACCTGAGCTGCAGTTGGTGAGTAGGGAAGTACTGCAGGACCACCAGACCCCCCGCAAGCAGCTGCGGTGCCACCGCCACAGGAGAAGCGAGGTGCGCGCTGCGCTTCCTGTCCCCAAGTCGCATCGGCAGAGCCCTGAGCCACCAGCTTCCTTCTGGTTTCCTCTCAGAGGCAAAGTGTGGGGGCGCAGGAGCCAGAAGTGCCAGGGCAGCCTGCAGCCTGTGCCTGGGGAGTAGAGCAGGCCCTGGGGCTACAGAGGGGGCTGGTTCTCACTGCTCTCCGTGGCAGGGGTGGGACAGGGTTTCTGTCTGTCAAAGAGGGTGTTCAGGCAGCCTCGACCTCTCCCGTCTCAAGCGATCCTCCCACCTCAGGCTCCTGAGTAGTTGGGACTACAGGTGTGTGCCACCACACCTGGTTAATTTGTTTCTTAAAGACACCGGGTTTCCCCCGTGTTGGCCGGGTTGATATTGAACTCCTGGCCTCAAGTGATATGGCCGCCTCGGCCTCCTAAAATGCTGGGATGACAGGCTTGAACCACTGCGCCCACCTCTCTTTGGTTTTGAGATGGGGTCTCACCATATTGCTCAGGCTGATCTCAAACTTCTGTCCTTGACTAATCCTCCCATCTCAGCCTCCCGAGTAGATGGGACCACAGGCACTGGCTAATGTTGCCCGGGCTTATTCAGCCTCCCACACAGCTGGGATTACAGACATTAGCCACTGCACCTGGCTGCTGTCTCCATTTTGCAGATGAGGCTGTCACCTCCGCTCCCCCCGACCCCGCCAGGATCACACAGCCAAGTGTCAAAGTTGTGTTCAGATGCTGGCAGTCAGGCCATGCTCAGTCCAAGTCCAGACTCTGCCACTTTCCAGCTGTGTGACCCTGGGCAGGTCATTTAACGCCTCTGAGTCCATTTTCTTATCCTAAAAGAGGGCTGAGAACCTCGCCCTTCCCTTTGAAGGTTTGAGGATTAATCAGACAACCTTCAAAGCATCTACAGGGCCTGACACATCCAGGGCATCATCAGTACACTTGATCTCCGGCCTCTAAGAGGCAGAGCTAGAAGAGATCCAGCTGCCCCAGCCTCCTGGTACTCTTGCCTTTGCCTGTCAGGTAGCGCTTCAGTTTGGACCTCACTTTTTCAGGATTTGCTAGAAACGAGATCACTTATCTTCTCTAGGTCAGATCTGGGGTGAACTTGGCTGACAGTATTCCAGGGCAGGCAGAGGTCAGGCTGGCTGGTGACCTGCTGCCTCCTTCCCATCCGCAGCTAGTTCCAGGGCCATCCACAGGATCCCCCAGCCCTCTGTGGTACCAGTCAGCCTCACTGGCACATGCCAAGGCTGACAGGACCTTCAGCATTGCCCCCAGTCAAGCCCTGTTCTTGTACTCATGGGGACACTGTGGCTCAGCCAGCATGGTGTCTAGCCCGGCAGGTGTCCCTCGAGTGGGCAGTTAGCTTCAGGCGGGCACAGAGCTGCTCTCTGCTGCCAGCCAGTGAGTGAAGATGAAAGTCCTGTTGTCTGTGTGCACAGTAGCTGCAGAATGGCCTGGTTGGGAAGAGGGAAAACGTGCGGGGTCAGCACCAGGGGCTGCCGGGATCTTGGTTTCCAGTTCTGCTCTGCTGCTGGTTGCTTCTGAAAGCGTGGGTTTCTCCCTCCGTGCAGAGCCTCAGAAAGGGGGCAGGGAGCCCCACATCAGCACACATGCCCCTTGGCGCTCTGGCCTCTGCAGGGTCAGCCCAGTTCCTTCACCTCTCTTCTGCTTTCCCCTCAGGCCTCAGTGACCCCACACCCGCTTCAGGCTCAAGCCTGGATGGTACGGCATGGAACAGCTTCCAGGTAGGAGGGGACCACAAACTAGCCTGGCCTCTTGAAGACCCAGAGTCAGGGCAGCTGAGACAGGCGGCCTGGGGAAACTGAAAGCATGAGCAGGCTCTGCCAGGGGGTGGCCCAGGGCCTAGAGACACCCACCCAGGGAAGAGGGCCTCTCCTCACTTCCAGCTGTGTCTTCTCCAAGTCTCAGCCTCAGGACTGCAGCCCAGCCTTTGGGATTGAGATGGGTGATCCCTCTTTTCTGGAGGGTGACAGAGGTCCCTGGAAAGTAGAACCCCCAGCTAGATCCAGCCACCCTGCATCATGGACATGGGTGGTCTGGGGTCCCCGCCTCTGTGGCTGCTTTCCCAGATGTCATCTGCAAGGAGGACACTGAGCCTCAGGGCAGGTTCAGGTGGCGCCGACACCTCTAGACAGCCCCGCCTACCTGCATCCTTTGCCCCACAGTCGTCGGATGCCACGGAGCCCCCAGCCCCTGCTCTGGCCCAGGCCCCCAGCATGGAAAGCCGACTCCCAGCACAGACATCCCTGCTGGCAAGCAGCGGTCTGGATGACCTAGACCTCCTGGGGAAGACCCTCCTGCAGCAATCTCTGCCCCCGGAGTCCCAGCAAGTGCGGTGGTGAGGGCCCACCATGGCTGGCATGGGGTGGGGAGCACTCCCTGTTGCCACAAACCAGCAGCTTCTCCTGGGCTTGTCCAGGCCCAGCAGGGAGAGGCTCATTGCTGGCTTGTTTAGAAGCAGCGGATTCCAAGCACTACACCTGTCTCTGGAAACACAGCAGTGCCCAAGGCAGCCCAGTGCCCCTCTCACAGAGCACAGAGTTTATGAGACAGAGAGACCTGGGCCCACTGACCTGGCCTCCCCCAGGCACTCCTAGCTCCTTAGAGCAAGGCCAAAGGCCCAGAGGGCCAGCGAGCAGGCAGGGTGCAGGGTAAAGGGAGAACAAGAGCTGCTCCTTCTAAAGGTGAGAAGACCCAAGGCCAGAGAGACAGCCGTGCGTCAGGACAGAGCCTGGAAGCCCAGCTTTTCCTGTGTCACTATCTCTTGATCACCAAAGAATCACTTTTTCTTTTTTTGAGAGGGAGTCTCTCACCCAGGCTGGAGTGCAGTGGTGTGATCTCGGCTCACTGCAACCTCCATCTCCCACACTCAAGCAATCCTTCTACTTCAGCCTCCTGAGTAGCTGGGGCCACAGGTGTGCACTACCACACCCAGCTATTGTTTTTAAATTTTTTTATAGAGACGGGGTTTCGCCATGTTGCCCAGGCTGGTCTCAACCTCCTGAGCACAAGCAATCCGCCCACCTCAGCCTCCTCAAGTGTTGGGATGACAGGCGTGAGCCACCAGGCCTGGCCAAGAATCACTTCTTAATGCACTGTCCCCCAATTAAGGGAGAAGCAGCTGCCAGCCCCCCGGCTCACACTCCGGGACCTGCAGAATAAGAGCGCCAGCTGCAGCTCCCCCAGCTCCAGTGCCACCAGCCTTCTCCACACCGTGTCCCCGGAGCGCCCTGGGCCTCCACAGCAGCCCATACCAACTGAGCTCTCACTGGCCAGCATCACTGTGCCCCTGGAGTCCATCAAGCCCAGTGAGTAGGGCTGGGGCAGGGGCAGGCGCAGGCTGGGCTGGGTCAGCTCGCTGCCTTGGGAGCTCTGAGGAAGCTGGTGGGAAGGTGGGACCTCCCCTGGCTCTGCCACTGGCCAATCAGTGGGGAGCTCTGAGCAAGGCCCTCCCCTCCCCAGGAGTTACTCCTTATCTGCCCCAGAGCAATCACAAGACTGCTGTATAAACTCCAGGCTTACACAAGCAAGACGACCTCTTAGGGAGTGTACCCTGGGCCTCTTCCTCCCCAGGAAGGCAGGGCCCAGAACACAAAGAGGTTGGGAGTTTCTCCCAAATTACAGAATAAAGATCCAGATCCAAGGCTGGGCTTTTCCAGCCCAGGAGCAGTAGGGAGACCATGGCCCAGCCCTGGGCCAGAGCAGACACATGAAGTCGGGTGGTCCTCTCAGCATTGCCCTCTGTGAGTTCCCTGTGACCAAAGATACCACCCCGACTGTCCCCCAATAGTGGGTAGAGCTGTACCTCTCACCTGAGCTCAGAGAAGGCGAGTGACGGGGTGAGCTTCACCCTCACCCAGAGTCCCTCGCCCCAGCAGTCCAGGAAGCAGCCACACGGCACCAGGGGAACTTGGGCTGCGACTCAGCTCTGGGGTGGGTGTCCTGCCTCCACTGTCAGACTGGGGGTTCATCTGCCCTCTCTGGGCACCACTCTGCACTGCCACCCAGGGTCCAGGTAAAGCCCTGAGGGAGGCCTTTGCTTTTGGCAGTGCGGCAGCCAGCGCCTGAGGCGAGCTGGGTGTGGGCTGCGGGGCTGCGCTCCAGCTAGCTGTCCCATTGCCCTCCCACCTTCTCCCACAGGCAGCATCCTGCCTGTGACTGTATATGACCAGCACGGCTTCCGAGTCCTCTTCCACTTTGCCCGCGACCCACTGCCAGGGCGCTCCGACGTGCTGGTGGTGGTGGTTTCCATGCTGAGCACCGCACCCCAACCCATCCGAAACATTGTGTTCCAGTCAGCTGTCCCCAAGGTGACAAGCCAGGCAGACAGGGCATGCCTCCCTCCTCTCAAGGCAGGCTGACATGGGGCTAGGTGGGGAGCCACTGGCAGAGGGCAGGTTTCCCTCCCTTGCTGGGTGGTCTGGGGGTGGAAGGGGGCACCCAAAGGACTGAGCCCCAGGACCCCCAGAGGGGAGCTGGCAGGCTGGGCTGGTTCCTCAAAGCAGCAGAGGTGGCCAGGGCTAGCTGTGCCCATCCTGCGCCCTGCCTACAGGTTATGAAGGTGAAGCTACAGCCACCCTCTGGCACAGAGCTGCCAGCGTTTAACCCCATCGTCCACCCTTCAGCTATCACCCAGGTCCTGCTGCTTGCCAACCCCCAGAAGGTGAGGGACCCCCAGGGTGGTGCTACAGGGTGGGGGCAGCTGCTTCTCCTGCTCTGACCCCTCTGCCTCAACATCTCTGCCCCAGGAGAAGGTTCGCCTCCGCTACAAGCTCACGTTCACCATGGGCGACCAGACCTACAACGAGATGGGGGATGTGGACCAGTTCCCCCCACCCGAAACCTGGGGGAGCCTCTAGAACAGAGAGGGGCTGGAGAGAGGAAGGGGCAGAGGGACCGGTCACTGTCAGCCTGGAGGAAGGCAGTGGTGGCCAGGGCCACCCTTTGCTGCCCGTGGTCATTCACCCCCAGGCCTGGTGCTTCTCCCCACACCTCGGTAGCCATCAAGTGACTCCTCCCCGTCCTGTTCCGCCCCCGACCCCTGCTGAGCCAAACCCAGTAAGAGGCTGGGCCTGGGTTTGCGCTGCGGGGGTCTCCATCACGGGACCTGGAGAGGGAGGGGCTGCGTGGCCTTGGAAGAACTTGGGGTCGCGGGGAAGAAGCACGGCTGTCGGGGAAGGGCCAGGACCTCAGGCAAGCCTCGACCCCAGCTGGGGTGGGTTCTTCCCCGCCTGTCTCTTATGCCTTATGGGAAGGCCCAGCCATAATTCGGGAGCCATGCTGGAGCTGGGGACCAGCTCAGGCCTCCTCCATAGGAACCCGGTGACTGGGGTGACGCCTATGCCCCCAGCTGTTTGCACTCTGGTGTGTGGTTTGACTCTGCTTTTCTTCCGGATTGGCCCTGTGGTCACAGCCTTGGGGCCAGGCTGGGGGATCCCCACCCGGCCCCTACTCCTCCTGGGGGTCTCCCTTTGCCATTGGACCCCCTGAGGGATAATGGGGGCCCAAGGGTAATGCCAGAGGCTCATGGTCCCAGCAAGGGGATCTGGGGGTCCTAGAGTTCTCAGTGTCTCCCCTTCATTCATTGGCCTCTGCTGGGGCCTCCTATGGGTGTCTCACGTCTGTCCATCCATCTGTCCGTGGTCAGAAGTGGGGTCAGTGTGTGAGTGAGAACAGGAGTATTTATGAAAATAAAACTTCGTTTTTCCTGGACCCGCTGCTCTTGTGGCCCTTCAGAGGTTGAGGGAGACAGGAAGGGTCAAGTTCAGGGTCCCTGGGGCTGCCCTGTAGAGCTCTCTGCTTCTGTCTTTGGAGGTCGGGCCTTGGGACCCCTCCCCACCATCCCTGGGCCCTGCACAGGAAGAGGCCCTGCAAAGGGGCCTGTGGTCAGTGCTGAGTCACCAGAGAGGGCCCTGGGCTGTGGCGGGCCAGGGCCGTCCCAGCTGGAAGCAAGGGAGCGCCAGAGACTGGTAGGAGCTCCAGCTGCTGCAGATGCTGAGGGGGAGGCCCCTGGCTGCTTACAACTTCCTCCTGCTGTGCTCAGCCCTCCACACAAGCTCGGTGCCGCAGCTCCCCGGAAGGAGGGAGGTCTAGCCCAGCTTCTCCCTCTCCCCAGATGGTCCCAGGAAGCCCAGCGACAACCACAGTTTTTTTCCATGCAGACCCAGGGACCTGGAGCTGGGCAGGCCCCCTTCCCCTCCCAGCGGCAGCTCTCCCACCCCACATAGTGCTATGAGAGTTTTCTCCAACTCAGGAGGCTGGGGTCCAGGCTCAGGTGGGGCTTTGAGGCCACACAGCTGAGAGAGCCCTCTGGCAAGGGCAGATGGGCCCCGTTGAGTAGAAGGCCTGCCCTGCAAGAAAGCCGTCCCTGCTTAGATGAGTGGGGGGCGGCTGCCCCGGTTTCTCCTGAGCCGATGAGCCCATAAAGACCCTGGGAAGCCCTCACTTAAGAAGCCGTTTTCACTTTGTCTAGTCTAAGAACCTGGCGGCTGAACCTTTCTCCTTAGATGCCCCTGCCCCCGACCCTACGCGCTCTCCACAAGCGAGGGGCCCCTCTCTGCCGGGCCTGCCCTGGAAGTGCAGGCTGAGAGCTCCTCCCCATCTGCCTTACTGCTGAGCGGACCAGAGGCATTAGCTGTGCCCTGCAGGAGCCTCCTATCAGGTTCCTGCAGCAGGACTCCCACCCTGGCACAGCCCCTGGAGGCTTTCCGATACCCTGTCCCAGCCACGTGGCCTCGTTCCTCTTTCCCTACCACCCCTGCAGGCCTCGCCTCCACACTTGGGATGTCTCCGGGAAATAACTCCAGCTGGAAGTTTCTTCTACCTGAAATGAAACCACATTGCCTGCAGGATTCCCCTGGGGTGCCCAAGCCCACCTGGAGCGCAGTCTTGTCACTGGCCGTGGTGGGGAGGGGTCCGGTCGGCATTGGGAACAGGTGGCACTGTGAGCTGGGAGTCTGGGGCTGGTTCTGGCTGGATCACTGGCTTGCTGTGTGATTTTGAGGAAGATGCTTTCCTTGCTGGAAAAGGGGAGAGGGACTCAATAAGCTATAAGGCCCGACTGAGGAGTCCTTAGGCAAAGGAGCCAGGCTGTTCCGGGGACAGGGAGGTAGGGGTCCCTTCAGCCTTCCCAACAAGAACTTGACAGCTGAACCCCTCTCGTTTGATACGGTTGTGACAGCTGGAGAATTGCCCGGCACACCCACCCACCAGCCTGTGCGCTCTCTAACACTCATCCGCAAGCAAGGGGCCCCTCTGCCGGGCGGCCCTGGAGAAGGCCCTGCTGCAGCCTTCTCCCTTGCCTTGTCCCTAACCCACCCGTCCCCTCAGTCATGCCAGTGCTTCTTGAGCAGCCCCTGGGCCAGCCCCATCCCAAGAGTTCACAAGCTGGCAAGGACTTGTGAGCCAGTGTGGCTCCCTGAGAGCAAAGACATGGGGTACCATTAGGAGCCCTGCATCTGCCTGAGAGTCTGGGGTGCGGGTCTAACGAGAGGAGAGGACCCTGGGCCTCACTCCCTGCAGGAGCCTTCCCCACATACCGTGTTGCCACACACAGAGTCCGGGCCGCTGCACTCCGCAGTCTCGGGCTGGGATGCGGTGCACTGGGGGGCGCGTTCAGTGGTCTCTTGAAGGGTGACCCCGCCCCCAGTGCCATGCCAAGAGCAGTGGGACTTCCCAGACCTCGAAGCCACACTTCCATTTCTGTTGGTTTGGCTGAGGCAGCAGTTAATGTTGGTTTTCAGCAACCACAGCACACTGATCATCTGTTTATGGAGAAGTGGCGAGAGCCTGGGAGCCTGCCCTTGCCTGGTGGGTTTTTTGGTTTTTGTTTGAGGCAAGGTCTCTCTGTCACCCAGGCTGGAGGGCAGTGTTGTGAACACAGCTCCCTGCAGCCTGGACGTCCTGGGCTCAGGCAATCCTACCCCCTCAGCCTCCTCAGGAGCTGGGACCACAGGCATGTGCCACCACGCCCAGCTAATTTTGTTTTTTATAGAGACGGGGTGTTGCCAGGTTGCCCAGGCTTGGTCTGGAACTCCTGGGCTTAAGATCCACCTGCCTCGGCCTCCCAAAGTGCTGTGATTGCAGTGGCGGGCCACTGTGCCCAGTCTGCCTGTCTCTCAACACACCCCTTCCCCAAGTCTCTTTGGGCCTCCCAACCAGGGCACCGGCTCAGCATGGCAGGCCAGAGGAGCCCCCAGACCTGACACCATGGTAGACCTGATGCCTGCAGCCTCCCGCCTTAAGCCTCTAACTGCCCTGTGAAACGGGAAGTGAGGCTGAGAAGTCGCACATTAGGCACTGAGTCCGGGCCTGCAGTCTTGAGATGTCTACCAGATGGGACATTGCCCCCTACCTCCCGAGCCCTCCGCACCGCCTCTGTCAGGCTGTCCTCTTGGGGCTGGACTCAATCCACACTCTCCAGGGCTATCAGGATTCAAATGGAGTCCTCAGACCTCTGCGCCACCCCAGGATTTCCTGCAAAGTCCTTTGAGCTTGTGGAGGAAGGGGAGGGAGTTTTTAGAGCCCCCAAGGTCTCACTGTGGCCCCGGGTGCTCTGGGTGGAAGTCCACACAGAGAGCAGCACTGCTGGATGCTATAAACAAGCGACTTGTCAGAGTGTCTCAAATGGAATGTTTTTGCTTCTGCAGCCCCTGCTACTGACCCCTGCAGTCACCACCACCCAGTCGCTGACCTCCCTGACCACTTCCTGCTCAAGCCTTACCAGCACACGCTGCCCAAACAGCTTTCATAGACAAATCTGCACAGAGGCTGCCAGGTGACTCAAAGCAACCACAGGGGTTGCTCCAAGCATTTCTGGAGCTCCCAGGCAATGTTGTCTGGGTCTGATACACCAGGAGAGCCCACGTGGGCTTAGGAGACTGTCAGATCTGCTTCCTAGCTTGGCCTCTACTACTTTCCCAGCTGGGGACCTGGGGCCAGAAGCCTCGGGCTATTCACCTGTAAAATGGGGACAGTGATACCAGCCTCGCTGGAGGATATGCTATAGCACGTGAGAAAAAGCCTCACTTTCCTGAAGCAGCTAGACACACACAGGGGTCACTGGGGCAGGAATGGGGGTGGGGGGTCTTTCCATTCCTGACTTGGCAAACCGAATAATGATGGTGACAAGAAACAGCGCAAGGCACTTTTCTAAGTATCTATCATATATTAATTCACTTAACCCTTCTGCGAGGTAGGTACTGTTGTTTCCAGTTTACCAAGGAGGATGGATGCTGAGATTCAGAGACGTGAAGTGTCCCACCTGAGGTCACCCAGCTAGTGAGAGCCAGAGACTGGCCAGCTGGCTGCCTCCACACCCTTAAACTGTCTCTTTTCCTGCTATCTGAGACCCTGTGACAGGCACACTGCTGGGCCCCCAAAGATTCAGCAGGAGCCAGCTAAGACCAGCTCTTCCCCAATACAGGGGCCTGTTGACCGGCCAGATAACCACCCCGGTCAACAGGCCCCTGTATTGGGGAAGAGCCCCAGGAGGGATTGGCTGGGGACCTCTGTGGTCCCCCTTCTGTGTCTGCAGTTAGAAAGGCCATGATCCCGACACCCACTGATGAACACTTCTGAGTCCGTAAGTCTGATTACAACACTCTTCTAAGAAGCAGCCTGTAACCTTCACTGCCTTTGGAGAGTCCGTCCTTCTATGATTCAACATCCAAGTGTGACAAGGGAGGGCCTAAAATCTACCCATCACCCAGCTAGGAGGCACAGCAGCCCTGCCTGAATCCGACTCTGAAAAGCTAGGCACCTCTTGCCCAGGACCCTTGGGTCTGGCTGAAGGGGAGTCTGGAGACCAGGACAGGGATGGGGACAACAGCTGAGCCTGATAAAAAGGCTCTAGTGGTTTCCACCCCAGCTGCTGCTACAACCCACAGGTACTGACCCCTCCCCAGGACAGAGCTGGGCCTCAGGACTGGGCAAATCTAGGAGGGACAGAGGTACAAGCCAAGCCTTGCCCTCAAGGAGCTTCGGACCAGTTAGAGAAACAGACAAGCCCGGGCCCAGTGTGGTCTGGGCTGGAGGCTTGGCTGGAACAGAGCAGGGGCACCACGTAGTCCAGAGACTTTCTGAGGGACTGAAAGGGTGTTACCTGAGGTTCCCTTACCGTGCCACCCATAGTCACTGGCCACGTTGGGAAAAGGGAGATGGGGGAGGGAACCTTGCCTGGCATCTCATCCTGGCCTGAACTTTGATCCTGGAGCCTCGCAACTTCCCACCAGGATTCCACGCTCAGGTGGGCTCCCAGTTGGGAGGCTCTCGCCATAGCTGAGAGCTGTTATGAGGCTCCTCCCACCTGTAGTGAGGCCTGCCCATTAGGGAGGAGAGAAGCAGCCAGTGAGTGTGCCAGGCCCCGAGCTGGGCACAGAGAGTATGGAGATGTCTGGGGCCAAGGTCCTGCCTCTGAGGTCTGCTGGCGCCCCGTCAGCACGGGCACGCTGGTTGCTCAAGTAGTCTCAGACTAAACTGAAACTAACAAAGCAAAGTGCAGCGGGTGTGGCGGGACTCCGAGGCACACCCTCCCCTCCTCCCCGCCCCTGCGGCTCCTGATGCCACAGGGGTGCAGGGTAAGGAGAGCCTACTGTTCCCCAAAGGCTCTCACATCTTGTATAACCAGCAGTTACGGAGCACCTACTGTATGCCTAACTCTGTGTTGAGTGGAGGGCCAAAGAGAACTAGTGAGTTTGAGAGGGTAAGAGCAACACCCACATCATTGCCCTACAAGAAGGAAGGGGCACTGAGGCTGTTTGCCAGGAGGAATGAGAGGTGATGAGCTTCACCGACGGAGCAAACTGCCGAGAGATGTGGAGAACTGGGTGTCGGGGAACTGCTCTGGGAGGGTTCCTGGTGGCTGGAGGGTGGAATGCACCTCCCTTAAAGGGAGCAGGCAGAGTGTCTCATCCATTCTGCAGGATGGGCAGGCCCAGGGCAGCTGGCCCATCAGACAGACCATTACAGACAGCGAGTCCTGAGTTCCAGGGACTTGTCCACGGCCACACAACAGCCCGTGGCCCCAGGAAGCCAAAGCTCCCAGTCAGTTATCCAGCGGTTGGGGGGTTAGTTCTGGCGGGGGCAGAGGTCCTCTGCGGGAGGGAGAGCAGGCAGCATCCCCTGCAGGCCCAGAGGGGCTAGACAGGTCAGAAAGGCCTACCCCTCCTTCGCGCGGCACCCTCTTTCTCCTTTGCGAAGGGTGCAAAGGTTGTTTATACCCCGGGCCGGCTGGCTGCGGGCGGGGCGGGCACCCCGCTTGGGGCGGGCTGCGGGCGCGGGGGCAGGAGCGGGCTTACCTGCTTCCCGCCACCGGGGCGGGGCGGGGAGGAGGAGCCGGGCGCCACCTGTGGACGGCCCGCGGCCGGCGGACACTCAGCGGCGGGGGCCCGGCCGGGGGTCGCCGGGGGCCCGGAAGCCGGGGCAGAGCGCGGAAACCAACTTGGAGAGAGGAGTGACCTGGGGGCCGGGGGCGGAGTCGTGAGCGGGGGAGGAGAGAGCCGGCCGCCAGCGAGATCCGCGCGGCGGCCCAGGAAGCGAGAGCGCCGCCCACCCATCCGGGGCGAGAGCCGCGCCGCGGGAGAGGCAGGCTGGGCCGGGGGCTGCCCGGGCCTGCGACCCCCGCCGTGACCCCGCAGCCCCCAGCCCGCCCCCAAGATGATGAAGAGGCAGCTGCACCGCATGCGGCAGCTGGCCCAGACGGGCAGCTTGGGACGGTGAGTGTCACCCCTTCCAGCCCCCACTCTTAGTCCGCAGGACCTGAAGGGGCGTAAAAGGGTTGGGGGCGACGGGGTGGGGGAGGCTGGGGACAGCTGGGCAGCCCCCCTGTGAGCGGCCAGAGTCCTGCCTTCTCTTCCTCCCTTCTGAACGGCGTCCCAGTCTCGGGCAGAGCTGGAGGAGCAGGGGTTGCCTTTGGGGGGAGGGGTGCCCACCCCTTTTATCGGCTTGGAGGGGGCTTCAGGCGGGAGAATGGGCTCTGCCCTAGGACGCTGGGACTTCTCTGCCTCCCTCCATGAGTCTCTGAGTGAATGATCCTCCTGGCCTCACTTGTCCCCTCTGGACAATGGGCCAGTTCACCATCTCTGCTTGCTGGGCTCGGGTGGGAGGAGGGTCGATTGGGGCCGCAGACCTGGGGCGGGCGAAGGAGTCGGGTCCTGGCCCGTGGGAGGAGGGGCCTGCCGCGTCCCTTCCCCTCCCCCCAGCCCTGGGGCCTCCTGCTTCTCTGTCTCGTTTCTCCTTTTCCCAGACTCAGGTGGAAACGTCCCCAGGTCTCCCAGCTCCCGCCCCCACCCAGCCTTTGAGCTGGTGGCCCGGGGGCCGGAAGTTTGGGGAGCCTCTGAGGGCCTGTCTTCTCTGCTCCTCTTCCCCCAGCCTCAGGAGTTCCCCATTCTCTGGGCCCGGGGAGGGAACTGGGTGTCCAGAGACCTGGTTCTAGTCTCACACTGGCGCAGATCCCTATATAGCCTGGGCAGTCAGGCCATCTTGCCGTGGGCCTCAGCATCCCCTGTGTGTCCTGAGGTGGGGGGCCAAGGGCCGTGCACCCCTGCCCACAGCTATAGTCCAGAGTGCTGTGTGACTGCGCCCAGGAGTCTGAGCTCCCCGACTTCCCGTTCTTGGGGCCAGCTAATCCTCCTCTTCCCTGGGTGGGCTGATGATTTGGGGGTGGGCAGAAGAGAGGCTTCTGTGTCCCAAAGCTGAGCCCTGGGCAGGTCTCCCAACCTCCTCTTCAGTTTTGTCTGCCCGCCCTCTCTCAGGATGGGGCTCTGGGTGGAGGAGGAAAAACCCAAGTATCCTATTCCCACCCCCATGGAATGTGCTCCGACTGGGATGAAGCAACTGGGCCACCCAGGGCGGGCCGCACCTGGGAGGGACGTTGGAAGGACTGGGGTACAGGTGGCCTGCTTCGGGGATGGGGGGTGCAGGGGGCATCCTAACACAGGCAGGCTCAGCAGAAGCACTCTCCCCGCTCCCGCAGCACCCCGGAGACCGCTGAGTTCCTGGGTGAGGACCTGCTGCAGGTACGTGCCTGGGCCAGATGGGAAGGCAGGCCTGTGCAGGCTGTTGGAGCACAGGGCTGGGGCGGGGACACCAGGTAGGGGCCCTGTTGAGTCATTCCTTAAGCTGTTGCCCATGGGGTCCCCAGGGGACAGGAGAAAGTTTTTCCTGCTCAGTGGGAGACAGCCTCTCTTGATCCTTTATTTATTTATTTATTTATTTTGAGACGGAGTTTTGCTCTTGTTACCCAGGCTGGAGTGCAATGGCACGATCTCGGCTCACCGCAACCTCCGCCTCCTGGGTTCAGGCAATTCTCCTGCCTCAGCCTCCTGAGTAGCTGGGATTACAGGCATGAGCCACCATGCCCAGCTAATTTTTTGTATTTTTAGTAGAGATGGGGTTTCACCATGTTGACCAGGATGGTGTCGATCTCTTGACCTCGTGATCCACCCTCCTCGGCCTCCCAAAGTGCTGGGATTACAGGCGTGAGCCACCGCGCCCGGCCTCTCTCTTGATCCTTAATCACACCTCTTTCCCAGGTGGAACAGCGGCTGGAGCCGGCCAAGCGAGCGGCCCACAACGTCCACAAGCGCCTGCAGGCCTGTCTGCAGGGCCAGAGTGGGGCAGACATGGACAAGCGGGTGGTGAGCGGGAGTCCCAGGAAGGAGGGGCCTGTCCAATGGGGAAGCAAGGCTGGGGCTGGGGTTTCCTTGCCAGTCTGAGTATCTGGCACAAGGGCATGGAGGCTGCTCTGTTCCAAGGCCCCTCTGGCACTGCCCTGAAGCGGCCCTGTACCTTCCTCTTCACCTCTACCCCACTTCTCTGTGCCCCAATCCACGTAAGCCAAGGCCAGGCCTCTGCCAGCACCTGAACTTCTGTCCAATCAGCACGCAGAGCAGGCTCTCCATTGGGCAGCCTCTGAGGGCTTCCTGAAGGAGGTGGCAATTGAGCTGGCTTTTGTGGGATACTTGTATATTAATCAAGAGGCTGCTAACATGTTAGCACATTGTCTCATGGAACACAGGTAACGTCCTAGGGGAAGGTACTGTTTTATAGATGAGGAATTGGAGGCTTACAGGTAAAGTTACTTGCCTAAGGTCACATAGCTAGTAAGTGGCAGAACAGAGGTTTGAACCCTGGTCTCTGCTCCCAGAGCTGGTGTTCTCCATAACTCCAGATGGGGTGGGAGTGTGGGGGCGGGCATGTTTTGGAACCAGTTGACAATTCAGTGTGACCAAGGCAAGGAAATGGGGAGGCGTAGGGAGTTTTGAGTTCAGCAGGTCAGCCACACACATACGCCCTGGGACGGGGGAAAGGGCCCCCACCCCCAGGCCAGCTCCCCTCCTGTTTTCTCCCTCCACCCGTGTGAACTGAGGCAAGCTCCCTGCCCTCCCTGCATCTTAGTGTCCCAGTCTCTGCTGGGACTTGTTCATTCCTTCCCACCCAGTCAAATGGCTTCTGGAAAGAGGAAAAGGGGCCCCCAGATGGGTAGGGGCTGTGTACATGGTCTCAGGGAAATGTCATCCCCACCATGCCTTGTCATCTCATTTCCACTCTATCTGTGACCGTGGCCCTCCTGGTTTCCCTCCTCCCCTGCCCCAAGGGGCCGGCCTGGTGCTCAGGCAGGGTGGAGGGAGGCATGGACATTCACCGCCGGCCTCGCCCTCCCTGCAGAAGAAGCTTCCCCTCATGGCTCTGTCTACCACGATGGCGGAGAGCTTCAAGGAACTGGACCCCGATTCCAGCATGGGGTGAGCACAGACGGTGCCCAGCCCTCACCTGGTTATACCAAGACGCAGTCTCAGCTGGGAGGGGGTGCAGGTGGTAAGGGCGTTCACATCAGAAGAATAACCAGGCTGGGGACGGTGCCCAGGTCAGTGAAGGTAGCCAGGCCTGGGAGGGTATCTAGGAGGGGCCAGAAGGGAGGGAGGAGAGGCCCCATCAAGAGTCTGCAGTGGAGGTGAGGGCGGCGGGAGCCTGGGCCCATGGGCCGCTGTGTCCACAGGAAAGCCTTGGAGATGAGCTGTGCCATCCAGAACCAGCTGGCCCGCATCCTGGCCGAGTTTGAGATGACCCTGGAGAGGGACGTCCTGCAGCCGCTCAGCAGGCTGAGTGAGGTGAGCCTGTGCTCTGCTCCCAGCCCCCAGCTTCCCCAGCTTCGGCTCCCTCTGCTCCACCATGCTGACTCCCTTGCCTGTCCCCAGGAGGAGCTGCCAGCCATCCTCAAGCACAAGAAAAGCCTCCAGAAGCTCGTGTCCGACTGGAACACGCTTAAGAGCAGGTGGGAGCCCCAGCCACTCAGGGGACTCATCTCTGGGTCAGCCCACAGGGATGGCCGCACCAGGATGCCGAGGGGTTCGCTAAGTACATTGGATGTGCTTGTGCACGCCTGGTCCCTAGGAACACAGGTGGTGAGGGTATCTGTGAGGGTGTGCCCGTGCATCTCACAGCTGGTACTGGGGCCACCCAAAAGCCTCGGATGGCCATAAACAGTTCTGCAAGATGCCAGTGTGGCTCCCCCATTCTCCACTCTGCTGGGTGTCTGTGATCACCAAATTCGCCACCAGGGGGCGACCCAGAGCACCCACGGCCCAGGCTGGGCAGAGGCCCCGGCCAGTGGAGCACTCAGATTTGCAGCTTCTAAATCCTGTGGTCTGCTCTATAGAGGGCACACTTGGCTCTGGACATGCAGCAGGGCAGGTGACAGCTCACCTTGGGATCATCCCCAGGCTCAGTCAGGCAGCCAAGAATTCAGGCAGTGGTCAAGGCCTGGGAGGCGGCCCGGGTAGTCACAGCCACACGACAATGGCCAACAAGGTGGAGACGCTGAAGGAGGAGGAGGAGGAGCTGAAGAGGAAGGTGGAGCAGTGCAGGGTGAGGGCCACGTGGGTTCCCTGGATGTGCAGGGGTGGCAGGGGTGGGTGCCGGGCCCATCTCACAGGCCAGGAAGCTGAAGCTCAGAGAGGTGACATGATTTGCCTCAGCTATGTGGCCAGGAGGCGGCAGAGCTCCGCCATTCCCTGGTAGCCTTTTCTGTCTACATTCTAGCATAACATGGGGAGGCGGAGCCTTTGTCTGTTCCCTGAGTCTCTGTGTGTTTGCTGAGTGAGTGAGTGAGTGAGTGAATGAATGAATGGCTGGATGGTGAGTACAGGCCACTGTGCTAAGGCAATGGGGACACAGAGATGGGGCTGAGAAGCAGAAGAGTTTGAGGGGGTTCTCATGGGCTGGCCCCAAGCACCAAACTCGACAGAGGGAGGAGCCCTGCTGGGAACTTCCACCTGTAGTAG